TGGGACTATTTGTAGCATTTTATCGGAGTTATCAAATTTGTAAACAGATAATGTCGAATTAATAAGATGTAATGATAAAAGTGTTTCTCATACCTCGTACTAATTTGTAAATTTTGCTATAATTGCTCGCTGTTATATGTATGATCAAATTTGTCGCATTTCTCTATTTATCATATATACTATTTGTTTAATTTCTTGTAATAGGTCTATGATCGATATCAGTTATCGCCGCAATAATCCTACGAACATTCTGCAAATATCCGCGAAGATACTCTCACGCACACATGTTCGTGTATGCATTCGCACACAAATATACATATTTCATATATATTTGGTCCATTGGCCGTTTCCGCCGCGTGCGACAAAGGTCGGCTTACCAGTAGTGCCGGTCGATTAAATTTTGGCACCCTGGACAAAATACTGGGCGAATTGCAAACATTAATTCTCACAATTTAATTACCTCATCAAGTACTTAAAATATCCGATTAATAAGTATACATCACATTGTGAATGCAGACGTAAAATTAGTAAAATGACTAGCATATCAATTTTTGTTTTTCAGTGCATATTAATTTTATCGAAAAATATAAAAATTCCAATGTATAAAATGTATCCGTTCTTGATCTTTATAAATATTATACATTTAATTTTATAAATTACATCCATTGTGTAGACGTTTGAATTTACATGCTTAACGATATAAATGCAAGTTGTACATATATTTTTTGGAACGTTAGAAATTCTTATATCTTTCTGACAAAAATTGAAAGTTACGGTTCGACATTTAAATATCAATTTCCATATCTTTTCATATATATATATATACATATTTATTGGTTTGCTCCAAGGGGTTAAATCTTTCGGACGGCACTGTCGGTAATGCACCCCTCATCCCGCAGAGCAGCGTGAGCGTTCACGCCGACAACCCCCACCACCGACGATCCTCACTCCACCACTGCCGACCTCGAGATAGCCGAGGAACAGCCGCCGTTCCGAAGCAAACGACGCCGCACTCTACGATCGGTCGTTCGTGGAATCGGAGTGCTCGTTCGTCCGTTCTCATCTGGTCTGCTCGACGTGCATTTGTGTCCCTGCGAATTCACATACGACAGCGTCGGTACGTGAGATCGAGGTCGCGATCTTTTCACCCTCCCGAGGAGGCGACGGTCCTCGACGAGGGGGAATCTGCGAAAACGAGGATCGGAGGAGATTTTGCAAAATCGCTAGTGAATGGTTGAGTGTATGGGTGTATATGCGTGTGAGTGCGTGCATGCCTGTGTCTGCGTGCGTGTGCGTGGTGGAACATATCGGCAGTGATCGTGCGGTGTGTGCGTGCCGATTTGTGGGCGATTTAAAATGCGCCACCCTCTCTGCGCCAGCGGAAGCTGAGAATTCGACAAGACGCGGTCGTTGATGGTCGCCGATGGTCGCCGGGACTTCGAGGAATTAAACGATTAGCCAGGAATTAATTTTTACTATGAGATCGATCACGAGAAGAGCGAACAGCAGCTAAGATCTAGGGCAACGATTCCGTTTGCGTCTTTGTGCTAATCGTTCTCTCAAACTTGAAAGACCCAGCTAGCACACGGTGTATCTCTGCGTGGATCTTTTTTTGTCGGTTACTCCGTTTCTCATATGGTTCTCATATGATATTTCGTTTTTGTTTCTTGCACTTTCGCGACTTTTTGTCACGCCGAGATTCAAACTCTTCCTCTTAACGCGTCCGCGATTTTTTTTTCGCGCAGGAAAGATCAGCCGTTCAGCAGCGTGAGCGAGTTTACGACTCGTCTTTTCTCACGATCGGAAGATATCGTCGCCCACGAGTATAAACTGCGTCTTCGTCGCTTCTGGATCTTCAGTCATCCGCGTAAATCTTTTTTCCCGCGTCTCGTTGCGTACAAGCCGAGTTACATGATGTAACTCGGCGATGACGTGAAATACGGGCGTTACGTCTCGATACGATCGACTTCCGCGAGAGAGACTCATCGACTCCGATGTATCGAATTAGAAAATACATAATTTCGGTGGGTCCCCGTTGCGGGAGAGGAGTTGACGCGAGGAGAGACGGCGAGGATTTAGCGGTGGTCGACGGAGTACGGACACCATCGCCACCATCGCGGCCGTCTGGCTAGCCCCGAGCTCCGGATAGTCCGGATGGCAGCATGGCGCGCACCCCGCGCGACGCGCGTTGCGAGGGGTAGATTGAACCTCCGCACCCTGCGATCAATAAACTCGCCGAGAGGGAGCAGCCCCGTGACGAGCCGTTCGACTCCGCCACATTTTGCCTCCCTCCTCTCCTCTGCGTCTCTTCATCCCCTCTCGCGCGATTACTTCTTCCCCGCCTCCCCCTCCCCGTTGACGACTCACCCGCTGTTCTTCAACCGTAACCCTTGCTATCAGCGATTCAGCACGTGCACTTCCATTCCGTTCCGCAACGAGATAGCGGCACAGCCGCTTTCGCGTTCTGCGGATTATCGCGGACCAACGGATGCCAAACAGGCTCCATGCTTTATAGAATTTTTCTCGCTACTTTAATCGCCCATTCTGGCTGCGGGTTGTTGTTGTTAGAAGAATAGGGGTTGTAGGAAATATTTCAGAGAAATATTTATCAGGCGAAACGCCGTATTCTCTTAACATCTACGGACAATTACGTACGGTGTTGATGACAGTCGATGATTTCTTATGATCAAAATATAAATTTATTTCTGATTATCAAATATTCTGTAAATATGTTTGCTACTAAAAATTAAACTATTTAGATCCTTTTTTTTTTATATAAATGCATTTTGATATTGATTATATATTTTTTTTACTCTAAGTGTACATATTTATTTATTATAAATATAAATACAGCGTATAATCGAATGATATTATAATGAACGAAATAATTTAGAATATTAGAAATGTATAAATCTGAAAATTTTTGTATTTAAAATAATAATGCAAAACATTGCAAAATGTTAACAGAAAAGTAACTGAAAAGTAGCGACTTGTTTTTTTTTAACTATAACTATATAGTTACTTTTATGGAGTAACTTTTTCCATCCTGCTACTTTTGTTAGAAAAAATAACCGTTTAATTTCAATTTCTCCAATGGTTATTCTATACATGAAAAAATTTGTAAATTCAATAATTATTTATAAATTAAAATTTCTCACAGAACTATTACGTAAAAACAATTACATTTAATGTAACAATTTTATTTCCATGCTAGCAGGCGTATCAGTCTTTTCGATCTTAATTTTAAATCCTTTAATAATCACTTAATCAGAACTGATTAATGTATCAGGCATGTTTATTATTATGACCGACTAATCAGGGTTCACAAGATGTCAATCTTGTTGCCTAATCTAATCTAGTTTTACTAGCAGAGAACGATTAATTTCATTTGCCTATTACGCAAATTGTTTAATGCATGCTAAATTGCCACAAACACACGTTGAAAGTGATTGTACTTTTAACAGTTATCAATTGACCTTGAACTAACAATAAGTAACAATTTTTTCGTGTTCAGTCAGTGACTGTCAAGTCTTTAATTTATAATGAAACGAGTTAAATGTGTCTCAAAATAAATATTCTTATTTCGATTATTATTGAAATATTATTAAGGCAGACCATCGGCGATGATCTTACTATCGGTGTGTGTATTCTGCATATCGTTCATTCAGTGTATTTTCTGTGAAATCAGGTGAAAATAAGTGCACTCGGAAGAGAGTCACAATAAGGATGTGGCGAGATCCTCCAGGCGGAGGGTATAAGAAACCTATCCACGTCGCCGCTATGTTGCTGCTAGCTGTTATCCTGACATTGACAACGGGTGAGTCAACTTCGTACGAAAAGATCTTATTCACTTCGCGTTTCTCAGCATGACTCGACGATAATTACCGAGAAGCATTGACGCATGGGGGTCAGGCAATGTACGTGAAAAATCGGAAAAAAGTTTACATATGTAAGAAGGACAAGCCATACGACTTTTGTACGTTAAACAGAAGCTCTAAGATGCTGAAAGCGAGTAAAGTCGCTCCGTGTGAATCGCCTTTGACGTAAATATAATAATAATAATAATAGATGCAGATTTTAAGTCAGTAATGATAATGATTGGACATCAAAACGATATTCTTAATATATTATAGAAATAAGAATTATTACATTCAAAAATTAATTAAAAGCTTGAAAACAAACTGTGAATTTTCATCAAAAGCTAAAATTTTAGTTTATTCTAAAGCTGCACGGTTTCTAAGAATTTTGTTAAAGCAAATTGTATATCGCAACATGAGTCATTCCTGATGTTTTAACTATTTGTAATACCTCTTCCATAAATTACGAAACTGATATACATTTGAATACGCTGTGATTTTATAAAATATACATCTTAGCTTATCAAATTGCGAAGTTCATCAGCTGACGCGGCATTCTATTCTTTATAATACACGTGCTTCAAATATGATACTTGACGGACGCTAAATATCCTTGGATATTCTCACCAATTCATCAGTACCATTCATACTGAGGCAAAATTGGCATAAATCTTAATTTAATCAATTCCTAAGCAAGAATAAAATTAAAGAAATCGATTTTCTCATTTTATATTGTATAATTACATGTATACAAATTTAAATCTGATATAACAAAATATAAAAGTACAAGGTATTTCTATAAATAGAAATTGTTACTCTCTATAATTGTTAGATAGGATTTTTTAATATAATAAAGGGTAACGCAACTGAAAGATTGACATCGCATTTAATTAATAATTTAAAGTTGCCGCGCGATTTTCAAGTATCTAATCGCTAAAATCAAACGATTTTAGTTCCATTCGTTGTGATTTGTTATAACGGTCCATGCGCTGCTGCTTCTTTTTTGACATAATTTCTTGTCCGCGTGTATTTTGAACTGAACAGACGGTTAGTTGGGATCGTGAAAGGTTCCGAGGTATAAATTCGAGCGGATCTCGAAGTGCAGCTGTCGGAGGAGAGATTAAGATAAAGGGGACGAAGAGATCGGGAGGGAAAGGAACAGCTGCTGTTCCCAGAATGCAAGCTCACACTTCAAGAAAAATTGCACTCATCACCAGGTGAATCCGCCTATTATGTATACGGAATCTGCGTTACTGTTCATTTGTTGATGAAAAGTGAGCATAAAATTGAAGTATTCACGATGCTTCTAATTGAGCTTGAAGATTCGAATAATTAAAAAGAGATCATACGGATTTTATTGATAGTTTATAACAAAGAATGAAGTATGAATGAATAATGACTTTTATTGAAAATTTGTGAAATCCGATGTACATGAGGCATTCTGGATTTCAATACAAAATTGTGGAGTAAACAATGTTAATTATAAATTTGTCGATATTATAAATATCAAATACGTAAACGATAGAAATTATGTTATATGTTTGTAATCCTAATTTTACATTATATTTTGTTGAATGAAAATAATATTGAAGTTTGTACTGTCCGCACTTGAATTTGAGGAAGTGAGACTTAAAAAAACATATTTTGTTATCTCACAGGAAGTAACAGAAATAGACGTACTTATAGAAGCCATATACGACCTGAAAGAACAAGAGGTTTAAGAATTTCTTCAGACTTCCTCCACCTACGCATAAAAGTTGTATCGTCCACCCTCGCGCACCAATGTGCGTTAATAAAATATAATTCTAATAACAATTTTAAAGATTCTGATTGTTAATTCTGGAATTTCCTGAGAAACAACTGAAGAATATTGCAGAATTAATGAGGTTAATACATAAGAAGAAAAAAGAATTAAGTTAAATTATTCTATATTATCTCTTTAAAATTAATTGTTCCCTTAAATTATTATTAAATTTAAATTTAAGTTAAATTAAAATTTAAATGAAAGATCAATTATTCTTTTATTTACAGTTAAATAATAAATAAACAATTAAAAAAACTGTTATCTTGAAAAAAAAACATGACCTTTTGCAAAGCGTAACAGTTTCAAAATGAAAATATTGCCAGCATAGAGACGTTTATTAAATTTGAATTCTTGATTAATGGAAACTCGAAACAAAAATTCCATCGAAAAACTATACTTATCGGTTTTTGTTTTTTTTTTCGATACCTCTGCCGAACTTATGATTTGACATTTCTCTTTATTATGCATGTCACAGAATTTTACGCTTACATACCCACCCATACACACAAACGTACTAGTAGATGAACACACACGTGAGTCACACGTGTGGCGACACGCGTGCGCGTGTGTGCACGCTGGAAATATATTCGATGCAGCATGTCCGGACGTTTCGAAGCTATCGCTATATATAGATTACAGAGCGGTTCTCGACCGGGAAGAATCTTGTCTTTCATCGATGCGTAAGAGTATAATCTCGGAAAAAAAGTTTTACATACCACTTCTGCGATCAATATCTGCTCGTGCAAGCAGCAACATACCGCATCCGCCACGTTGTGTTGTAGAGCCGCAACAGTACTCTCTACTCTGAGCCATTGTTGCACCGTGCACGTGCACGTGCCGCACAGAACGTATAAATAATGTAACCCTTGGACGTAAACGCACAATCACCATTGAAATTGCCGTACGCACATAGTTAATCATTGTAAAACCCTTACGTTGGTAATAATCCTTTTAACTCCTTTCGATGACCTGACGCCATTGTAACTGTCAACATGCAAAAATTTAAGAGAAGGGAAAGAAGATGTCGGAAAAGAAGAAACAGAGAGGATATCTGCGACGAAGCTGAAAGGAGAGAAACAGCGAAAGAATAAGTTTGCTGAAATGTCTAAAAATTTAGCTAGGTATCTGAATAATTTTGTTGGACCATCAAAACAATTCTATCCTTATATTCGACTTGTGCTCCAATTTTTATTTTTGCCAAGATCATAATGCTGCAAAAAATTTTGACATTTCAGCAACAAGCTTAAACATCCCACATAAGTATCTTGAGTCTCCAACAGAATTATTTCCAAATCTGTATCTAGTCAAGTTCTTGAATATTTTAGCAAAATCATTTCTTCGTGAAGATAAGAAAAGAAATGTAAGTTGTAACCCACCGTATTTACAAAAAAAAAAAGTAAAATTAAAAAAAGAAGTTGACACTTCTTGTTATCCGCTTCAATTGAATGCAATTTACTTGAGAAATTTTGCTATCGTCAGCACGCGAGTGAAATGAATCGGGAAAGCTAGAGGAGGGCAAGAATAGGCGACGTAAAACTGCAGTTATGTGAGCCGAGGTTCGCCTATAGCAGAAGGCGCGTATCCACGACAAAAATTCAGAACACCTGTCCTTTATACCTATATATGTATCCTGCTTGCTTGCTCCAACGGCGCACGCTTCGCCAACCGGTTCTTCGTAACTTGATTTTATACTGTGCCGGGTTTATATACGCTCTCGCTTCGCCGCGATCCCTGTCGCGGTGAATCAGTAGTAGGTGGCTGCATGCGCGAAAATTGTGCAGTACGATATACTCCTGTAATAAACTTTCGATACCTTTTTTGTGCACTTGGCGTATATTTCTTTTTTTTTTTGAAGAGGTTTTTTTTTCGGGATATTGTACGAATAAACCGTCTAGATGAGAGAAAAGCGCCAACTGTATCAATATTTTATATCTATTATATCTTCCTCTGTAATATTTATAATGATATATGATGAACAACATTAAAGGTAAAAGAGAAAATATTTTTTATAGTATAATGTAATAAATTCACTTTTTATTTACGAAATTTATTTATAAATTGTTCTTAACGAGACATAAATTGTTCTTTTGAAATTGTTAAATTCTTATATTTCCCGTTTTTTATTTGATTCTTGAATAAAATTGTTCACGATATAACGTTACTAGATAACGATTTGGCGCTATAATTCAGATTATAAAAAGTGGATTGCTTATAGATACACATTGGCTGCGCTCAGCAGAGAAAACTAATCAGTTAACGCTTAGTGATTCTTTAATACGATTGGTTCCTACACATACATTTAGCGAAAAACTAAAGCTAAGGACCAATCATATTAAAGAATCACTAAACGCTAACTGATTAATTTTCTCTGCTGAGCGCAGCTATTGTATCGAGAAATAATTGCACGGAAGCTGTTTGTGATTCTTTTGTTTCTTATGAAATATGGAACGTGCAATTCATGTATTTGCAATAAATTGACAGTCAATGGCACTTAAGTTGCCATCAATGGCTATAACTTGTCGCTACCAATGGTACCGACATAGTCGAAGAGCGCAGCTTGCCATGACGGAAAAGGAATCACGCATTGTCGTCTCCCTTATGGTCACGTGACGTAGATCGCATATTATTCAATAACAGACTTGACAACCTGTTGTTTGCTGCAATTGGCAACGTGCCAATTGAATGTGGGTGTCGCATATCCTGGTTGAAACGAATGATAAGCGAAACCCGAAGACACGAGACAAAACGTCTCGTCGCTCGTGACACTTTAAATTAATTGGCTTCGTGCTAATGTTCCCACAAGCTATTAAGCATCCCTTACATTTCGTTCTGTCCACGAAACATTTCTTTTCTCGCAATAAAAATTCTGTTACAGTCTTTGTATTAAATTAGCTCTATTATTTTCTTACAAAGAAATTACTTTAATCTTTACTAAGAAGTCGTGACTTGTCGTTTACAATTTAAAAAAATAATTTCTGAAAAATTAGTTATTCGTCTTGAAAAGATACATTTTAACCCTTAATAAATATGATAGTTTTTGGCAACTTTGTGTACGACGGGGATCTATCGTCCTAATTTTCATCACTTTTTACGAGTACATAAAAATTATTGTATAAATTTTTACATATACTTTGACATCTTCAGAAAATACGTGTCATATATTTATAAAAAGTTGTATATAAATGTTATAATTATAAGCAAAATGAAAAAAATGTACTTTTTCATATAAAAATGCAAAACATTGAAACAAAAATGTTTAAAGAAAAAATATGTTTTATCTTAAAATTATCATTTTAACCTACAAAAGAAAAAAAACAGTTTAAGTATTGGTTGTCCAAAAAATTTAGTTATTGAGTGATTAAAAAATGACTCTTTACAGTGCCTAAATGAATATAAATTAAACGTTTATTATATTTATATTTTAAATAATGCATTTTATCGTTGATTTTGTATTACACTGAGTTACAACTAATTAGAAAAAACATTTTTAAATTTTTATTTAAATATTTTTT